ACACTTCACAGTGTCATTTTCATCCATTACTAACAGAGGCAAAGCAAACCTTCCCAGGCTGGTTGCTAGCTTTACAGTTTTTATAATATTTCTTATAAAATTTCAGTCTTTTTGAAAATATTTCTTACTTCCCATATTGGGAGAGGAACTAATATTGAAACATCAATCCCATTCTATGCTTTCCTTATGCACTTTTTAATTTAGTTTTTCAAGTTTTGTTAGAAGGTGGTGTGTCATGGTTGGTGTGGGTCCATCTAATGATTACTTATAATACCTTGAAAACTATAGTTTTGCTATTGTTGAAACTGTATGTGCCTTACATTACAGCCAGAGACCACATCCCAGCCCACATTTCTGCATGTTATGTTAGTTTTCTTCTACATTTCAGGTAATTTTTAAGTGCACTTAATTTATTGTGTTAAAAAAAGAATAATAAAAAGGACAACACAAATATCTATAAGGTCTGTAGCCTCCTGTTAATATTCATATATTGGCTATTTAATTTGTGGAAACCTCCACTCATTTCAGCCTAGTTCTACTACAGAACTTCTGGCAAAAAGGAAAAAAAAAAAAGGAATCAGATTTAAGCAGTCCAGTCACACATGTTTGTAGCTGTGTGTGCCACAAGTGGTGAGCAATTAATGCTTGTACTCAGGTCTGTTCAGGTTAGGGACAAAATGGTATGGGATAATATGATCCAAATGTTATTCTTCAATATCAATACAGTACTGATGAGCTTTTCTGTTATGACAGGATTTTTGAAAAGTCTTAAGTGCTACAATGCACATTCTTTTTATCTAGGGCTCATCACTGTAATGCAAGATTCTTCAATGTTCACGACACAAAGGCTCTTTGCTCCCTCGGAATTCATTTCAGAGGAAGCCATTAGATCTCACAGTTGCAGTTTAATGTAGGGATTTTAGGTCATCTCAGAACTTACCCTTTTCCAAGAACAGTTTTAATCTTTGTTCAGTACTTGAATACACTTTTATAATTATGCTTCAAGTGTTATTGCAGCTATATTTCAGATTTTACGTATGAAGGAAAATGCTATATTATTTTAATACTGATGGTAGAGTAAAAATCTATTCAATATTCACCTTTCAGGAAGCACAATCAAATATCCAAGAACACTATTAGACTTGCCTAGCATAAAGTTTCAAACTGCTAATGGATTTTAAATTGATGTCATAATGCTGCAATTTAAATACATGATGTTCATTAATTTTGCCAGAACTCTTTGTGGAGTAGGAGTGGTATGAAAGAAGGAGGAAGGTTATATTTTCTCTACCTGCTTCTTTTTATCTGCTTCCCCATTTTTGATATACAAAAAGAGTCACTACATCAGCTTGACGTGGATGGGGGGTTTCAATAGGTTTCAATTGGGTAACCCCTGTGGAGTTGTATCTAATTAATATTTTCTATGGAAAAAAATATCACCAGGAATAGGATAAAAATAACTAACACATGATAGGCATGACATTTCCTAAAGACAGATTTCATGGGACCTCTCACCAAAAATCCTTAGGCACAAAGTGGAGGAAATAAGGGAAAGAAAGGTCATCTTGTTCATACACCTCCTTCTCACAGAAAGGTCAAAATTCATGTATTGAGCGAGACAGCAATACTGCAAAACAGACAGGCATGGTTACCCACAAAGCTCAGGGAGTCACCTCGGATGTGGATATTGAAAAGGGGAAAGAGATCACATCATGGGAGGCTACTACAAGATCCTCTCCTACCAAGGGGAGTGAGGGTGGGCTCTGGATGCAAATTTTCTAGGTGAAAAATTCTCTATTTTAGAAATATCTCCAACGTAAAACTAAAATGTGCCTAGACATAATGGCCCAGTATATACAACACTTCACATCTATTTGTATTTCAAATCTAATATATTTACTGTACATAAAGACAGCTTTTCCAAAGCTGTTGCTATGGCTACAAATCAAGGAAACCATAGCAACAACCCTGTATTATGTACAGCCTTAATTGCAGATTAAGTTATGTCTCTCTTTGCATTTTATATTAAATACTCCAATATAATCTGGTTTTAGTAATCTTAATTTTTTTCAGACTTTTTAATAATAAAAATTCCACAATATTACAGTGTCAAGTCAAATACACAACAGCCTTGAAAAATGTCCTTACAGCATTATTCTGATCATACCTAATAACAGCCACATCATTGTTTTTTACTTGAGATAAACACTAATGTTCATATCATCATATTTCCTGATCTTTTTTAATACAAATGATTGATAACTACCACTTTAACCAAGTAATTGATTTTCCATCATATCATAAGATTTTTCAAGTCTCATCCCACTCAGCCTTACCCCAAAAAAAACAGCTCCTCCTAACTTAAGCTTTTATTGATATGGAAAAGTTTGAGGGCTTTTTTGGTTTGGTTTTCCCTTTTCTTAAGAAAGCAATATAGAGACAGGAAAGGCAGAGAAGTACCTCATTCCAGATTTTCTAGCTTCCCTGTCACTTCAGATGACTGATTGGGTTGGTGGCAAATTACCCTAACTCCTCTGGTTTGTTGACCTTGTACATTTAAGTATTTAAGCACACTAAGGACTTGGCATGCAGCCAGACCTTGGAGCACAGCCTGAGATGAACAGGTAAAGGAGAACAGAGAACAAATGTGAAGAAAAGAAGAAGGATGTTAGAAGTGGCTGAGGAACAGGAGGAGACACCAGTGGGGTGACAGGATTCAAAGGACACTCTAGAACATGAGCACATTCAACAGGTGTGAAAAGATTCCCTTACAGAATCTGAAAAGAGAAAAAGCCAAAATTCACATCTTTAAAAGCCTTATCTCCTATCTTCCCTTCCATCACTTTATTTTCTGATAATTCCTTGTGGTATTGTTTCCTTACACCATTTGGTCCATAATAAGACATCATGTGTCCCATCTTGCAAAAAAATTGGCCACATCTGTTTGGGGCATTAGCTTGTTTCACAGAGTAGACTTTTCTGCTTATCTTACATACCATAGCAGCGCAAAAAAAAAATAGAAAATATCTTAATTTTATTAAATGAGCAGAAAATTAATGTATTTGATTCAATAAAGAAATTAATAACTGAGATTTTCTGGCTATATTAATACAAATAGTATACAAATGCTTATTTGACAAAGCAAAATGTGTTCTAAAAATCACAGTCTGAAAAAGCTATGAGTGTGAGTTAGGAACATGAGCTATGTAAAAGCTTTTCACATGAGCATCACAACAAAAGTTCCCTCGCACAGGGAATAATTAAGTCAAAAATCAGTGCATTTACAATAAGCAAGCCATGTTCAGGTTCTTCATTATCATTTTAATTAGCAAATATTAATGTAATCTGCAAATACAACAGGGAAAACAACTAAAATTACTAAGTTTAAGGAGTCCTTCATGACCTGAGCTAAATTGAGACAAATGTCTTACGAATCTATACCGGTCACCAGCTTTCAGGACATTCATTTCCATTTACTGTTAGAACTTCCAAGCGTGTTATCAAATTTAAGAATGAATTAAGGCCCTCACAAACTACTTCTAACCTCTGATGAAGGCAGTGGTGAATAAAAACAGATTAGCATGCTCCTCTGCTCTCAGTTATCAGTTCAGACCGATAGCGATCAGGTGACCGTGGCAGCTCTGCCTCATTCAGATTCCACGCCTGCCACGGTGCCAACAGCCCAGGGACATGCAGAACACGCTGCCCTCTCATTTCTAGAGGGATGAAGATGCTGCATGGAGCCTTAACCCTTCTGAGCTCAACAGCACCTCCCATTCCTTTCCCTGGGACTATGATTCACATGGGAACAGTTCTCCTTTCAGGTGCTTGTCCTTTTTCTGCTTCATAGATAATGTACTTTGGCCTCCAAAATAGTGCTGCATCTTACAGGAGCAATGATTAAAAGCTATAAATGTTTAAAAGAAGCTGCCTCCTAAAAACTGCCCCTCTGTCATTCTGACTTTCATATTTAACCCCCTAAAGGTAGGATAATAACTGGCTAGTCCAATTCACTTACAGGACTAAATATAATAAAGTGGGAAAGCATTTTCATTCTCTATAAAAACTGTTCTGTGAATGAATTTCACTCATTAATAACTGCAATTTTATAGAAAAAAATAACTAACAGTTATTGAAAGTCTGATAGTATTTTTCATGATTGACAGTGCTATAACTGATCACAAACTATAGAAAGAGTTCATTTTTTATGTTACCTTATTTTTGAAAGTTTCCATTTTAAAAATATTACAAAGAGAGAGGAAAAACCTGAAGAAAATGCATCATCACCACCACCAAAACCCAACAGTGGCTCTAGAAATTTGGATAACTAAGGCACTTTAAGGCAGGAGTCCCTGTAAAACTTAATTTCATCAGACAAGTATTTTTATCACACAGCAAGTATTTTTATTTAATTAAATTAATTTAATTAGATTTATTTATGTATTTAAAGTACAGAATGCAAACACATACCTAGCTTTGAATTAGTTATCAAATATTAATGCAATACTTCCAGAAAAATCCAGTAAACCTCTAGCTTTAAACATTTACTAGACTCACATATGCTCATTTCACAAATCACTCCCTTTTCCTCTTTCATGCCCATACAAACAAAAATAAGCTACTTCTTCTTCGGGCAGCCCAGGCAAAATGAAACATTTTTAGGACCTTATTACAACAAACACAAGAAAATTTATTTTTGCATTAGAGTGATTGAAGGATTGAAATTAATCTGAAAGATTTTCTTGTTTGTATAAGCAAGTTTTCACTCAATCAAGGGTCATTTTGAGGCCAGTTCACTGCTCTCTCCACTGCAGACATGACAGAAATTTTTAAAATTTCAAAGGTCATCTAAGTGGCAGCAGACTTCTAAAATAGCCACTTTTCTCAGAAACACTCTTGTTCAGTTTTCACACTGGGCAGGTTGTAAAAAAGCATTAGATGTGACTGGAGAAAAGAAATCTACTGGTCCATTTTGCCAGGCTGTTAAAAGCAGGTCTTACCTCTTGTGTTTTTACATTTATATATCCATAATGAGTTTTCAGAGGCTGCCTTTGGCCATTAGAAAATGGGATCCACTTGACTCTGGTTTGTCCAAAGCAGTTTAGGATCAAAGGGAAAGTTACTTCATTTGTGAGACGAACGATGATCAGACAGAGGAATGCAGCAATGAAACTCACAGCAACAATGGACTTTCTCTGTAATGAAAAGAAGAAAGGAAATAAATTATTAAAATTGAGAGTCAGTTTTAATAAAAAAATACATATCTTCAATTGGAGGATGAAGGAAAAACACTTGAGAAAGCTTTAGGTGAAATTATTCCTCTGGTATTCACCTTGCTGCAGGAGCAGAAGGACTCAGGTGACTGGATTGTTTCATTTCAATAAATTTGCATTTCAGAGGTTTGCAGAGTTTCTTTTAGAACTGGTTGCAAATGAGTCAGTTTTGCACACACACATAAAAAAAGAGCCTTTTTTTTAAGGTTCATAAAAAATCTATCCACTTCAAATTTTATTTGCATTTGGAATAAAGATTTTATGTAAACATCCACACCAAAGTCTTTGCTCAAAATCATCACTTTTCTAGGGACAATACACAAAAGGAAAATGCCACACAAAGTTTGCTGGGAAGATTACCATCACTACAGATCATTCCATGCAACAGAATTCATGCTCTAACTTTAAATACTTTAGAATATATTGTTGGTGAAGTCAGCACCACTTTCTGCCTTACTCCCAGGTTCATGAATTTACAAAGTAAGGCATTATTATTTTGAACAAGATGACCTCCACTGTTAACAATTCAACCAATCTGAAGTCTGTGTCTAATTAGTGCTTCCCTTTCACCTCTACCCCATCCAGGCAGTTGGACTGGTGAATGTAATCACAAAAAAATTCTTTCCCTGGGTAACTCCCCAGTCTGCAGGTGAAAAACTTGTAAGAAAACAGGATGTTCTCCTTATTTTTAGCTATTTTTTAAAATACTGTAGTCAATTACTTCTAGACAAATTACATAAGGATAAACATGTCATTTGGCATGTGTAAAGATTCTAGATATGATACTCTATCAAAAAGATTATTTTCACCTGCTCCCTGAGGGAATGACACAATTATCATTTACAGGAGTTTTTACTGTACTTTAATTACATTCTAGGTTTACCTGATTTGCCACAGTTTAATTACTCTACTGAAGGTAATTCTATCATTCTAAACAGTAACATTTACAAAAAATACAGTGGGAAAAAAATCATTTGCCTAAGGGCCTATACATAAGTTAATGCTGGATGACAGAATCTGACCACCCCAATTCCCATCTACAAATTCCACCAACTAAGCAGCACAGAACACATTTAACACCACTTATTTTACACGATGGCAGTAAGATCACACATGATGCTGTGGGAAAGGCAAGCTCCTATTGCAACCAGGTAAGACAAATCTGTTCCTTGCACAACAGTGAGAATCACAACGAGCAAATTGGAAGGGATGTTATGATATTCCCACAAACAAGAGTTAACAAAATAATCCATTGCAGGGGTCAATTGCATGGCTCTGTGTTCTGACGTACTGGGAGGTTCCAATTTATAAGATAAAAGCAATGAGAGACTGGGTTGGAAAACTTGGGTGAATGAGGTCACTGTGAGGAGAAAAGGAAGAGGAGGATGAAGAAGTATTTTGGCAGCATGATTCAGTGAGGAACCTCAGTCAGCTAATGGCTGTGCAATGTAAAATTAAACCCAGCAAATCTTCAGAGGGCAGCGCAGCAGCCACAACCCAATCGCAGCTTTCAGAATTCATGGAAGCCACTGCACTTTTCATCATCTGCATTATAACAGATTTACATTAAATTGCAATAAAATGGCTGGGGAGCACTTCTGTGTCACTTCTCTTTGTAGCAGATGGAGTCAGAAACATTTAGCTATATATCAGAGCCTTGTAAGTGCTAAGAGCAGCCAAGATGTGCAGTGCAAGTGATAATCATAAGGCAATGAGAGGGAGCATGGATTAGGCGTATTATTTATTACAAACCAGAATTAAAATACTGCAAATATTTAAAGGGGAATCTAGAGTCTCATTCCACTACATGAGCATGTTTCAATCAAAACATCCACAGCAGGAAGCAAGACTGCTTGTATGATGCAACTACCTGATTTACACATATTCTATCTTCCTGGTGTATTGAATATCACCTTTTACTTCCTTTTTTGGTGCAGATCTGTTCTGAACTTGAAAACAGTGCAATCAGCTTTATGTGCTTCTCACAAGGAGTTGTTCTAAACAGCCCTTGCCCTGAGAAGAATTCAGACTGTGTAGCTAAATTTCCTGGCCTTCACTAGGAAGCCACCTGATTTTGTATTTCTTGTCTTAAAATGCACTGTACTACCAGATGAAAGAAGAATTGTGGCCTTTCATTTTTTTATGTAAGAAAATATTGTTTGAAAATGAAAACAGCAAAGATTTTTTCTCTGTGTGTTTGTTAGCCAGTAAGAATCTGCACTAACAAGATCATTCAAATGAGAGAAAGGAATCTTTACAACAGGACAGAATTAAGGCATCTATTGAAATTGTTTTGGAAAAAAAAATCTAGCCATATGCAAACACAATGTTTATTTATCAACTTGTACAAAGGACTTTTGTATTAAGTATTCAGCTCCCCTGAAATATTTGTTGAAGGCATGAGATCCAATCGGCATTCTCTGCGGGAAAGAATACTGCAAACTGGAATTTCAGTGGCTCCATAAATTTCACTGTAAAAATACTGAAAAACACCAAAACACATACTTTTCATAATTTTAGCCCTCTTAAAGCACCAAGTAAAATGTCTGCTCAGTGGCCATGAGTATTCTACAGGGCCCTTCTAAAAGTAATTAGATTCCCTTAAATCCCTATGTTCTTTACCTGCTCATTAAAAAAACAAACAAAACAATCAAACCCAGATGCTATTTGTCATTGACTGGTTCTTGTAAAATCTCCTTTACTGTAGATAAATGGATTTCATTATTGGTCCTCTGATAAAACCTAAAATTTAGCATTTGAGAATCCATAAGTTCTACATGTCATTAGGATATGACAGGAAAGTCTGAAGCTATAAACAGGGATGAATACCAAATTGTAATTTTTCTCAAAATTTGTCTGCATCAACATTTTAAATACTCACACATCCCACCCTTTGGGAGAGCTAAACCAACACTAATTAGTAAGTCTGCAGAGAAACAAATCTTATTCCTTCTTAATTTTCAGTTCTCAGGAATGCAAATTGTCTCTTAACAAAAGAAATGTTTCTCTAATATGGACATACCCCATGCATAAATCTCAATCAATCCTTTTTTTTTTTTTAGCTAATCTAACGTAGACATTTTGATATTGAAAACATTTGCATAAGAAATGTATATTCAGTTATAAACATCTTTTAAATGTTTCCCATTTTTCACATACTCAGTGAGGAGTACACAGTAAGACATATGTTAAAGTGTTTCTTAGCTGGATGACTTGCATGGTATATTAGTTTTTGTTACATTTTATTTCAGTCACTATAGTACCTGATCAGCCTAGATGGCAGTGGCAAGAACAAAATTTCCTTTCTCATACATACAAAAAGGAATACAGGATCCTATAGTAGAAGAGTGAAGGAATTTACCTTCTGTTAATGAGACTAAATCTACCTATGGGTCCATTCCCAGTTTGGAAAAGAAAATAAAAAGTGGTAGAAGATGAAAAACTTGAGATCAGAGTACATGAACTGCAATACCAGAGACCCCAATGGGCCAAAAGTACTCACTAGGACTAAACAGTTTCTTCTAATTCTTTTTACTTGATCCCCAAAACAGCATCATCCCACTTCTGGTGTTGGTTATTTCTCAGACACCAAGCTCATTCTGTCTAGCATGTATATCAAAATCAATAACTAGTAGGCATGAATCACATTCAATTTATATCTAGGTTGTTAAAGTAAGAATTGAAATAAAAACAGGAGTGTCATACTACTCTGCTGGATAGAATTTAATTAAAAACTTCATGGGAATAAAACAATAACTACTTTCAGGGGTGTAAATATATGTATATGGCAACACGGTCCCTAGCACGATTTATATGCTTCATATCATCTAGTTTTGGCTAATTACCAGTGCCAGGGTGATTCATTAGTTTCAGTTTGGCAGAAACTTGACAGTCTGAACAAGTTTTAGTCATTTTTCTTTCATAATCTGTTAAGAAGTGTGAGATGACAAGATCCTTTTTTTATAGTTCAATAATGCCTGACAGAATAATAAGACACAAACATTTTTTGTGTTGTATACAGTTGTCTAGGAGGGCGGGAGGAAGGAAATATTTTCAGCATGGGAAGATAATTTCTTAAGTTGTAAATTTTACTGAGATCTGTACTAAGTATCTTTATTCTACTCTCTAGCCAAAGCACAGCACCCTGCCACTTGGCATGTATTATATGGCAGAGACTATCAAACCACTTCACAAGCAGGAATAAATCCCCTTCCTAGTGAGTTTCACAGTAAAAACCCATTTCACAGGTGCATAAACTGAGGTTGAAACCAACTTCCCTAAGATCACAAAGAACTCAACAGAAGAAGATTTTTTACTCAACTTCTAAGCTTTCATTCTAGAACTATTTTGTTTTTCAGGCTTATTGTTTCTATCACAAGTGCATGCCTGAATTTATTAAAAGACAAGGTTGAACATAGTATTATGAAAGATTCCAGTAAAGAACCCTAGGAACCATGCCCCAAACAGTAATTGCAAATATGCCTTTTTTTCATAAATTGATTTTCTTCAGTACTCATTCTTTCTTTTATTTTATAGATACATGGCAGCACCGAGCTTGGAAGGACAAATGAAAGGTAAACACTTATGTGAGGGCTTTGTGTCACTCAGCTGACACAATATGCAGCAATATTGTATTATTTTCACAATACCTACCTTTACAGGCACAGGGAGTAACTCGACACTTTTTTAATATCCCCTCACATCATACTACTTTCATTACAGGACTGATGTAGGGTTTCAGTTTTTACTCAAGCATAATACCAATTGAAAACAATAATGGCTACACTTACTGAATTTGTTTCATTTTGTAGACCACTATATGTAAAATATAGTTTTATTTAATTTTCTCTTTTATAGTCTAGAGCATCCCATTTAAAAGCTACTTTCTATTACAACAGAGCATTAAATGAAATTCTTTCAGC